TAGGTTGCTCTGTAACTCTTTCTGTTGTAACTGAATCTTTAGATTCATATCTGCTGTGATGGTCTAAGGAGAAAACAAGCTTGGGACTAGTCTTTGAAAGTAATTTGCTTCCTGATTGAATGCTTTCTCAAATGCCCTTCATTTGAGCGGAGCAGTGGGAATGAAATAACCCACTTTCTAAAAGTTATTTTAATCTTATTCTTCTTCTCTCAGCATAGTCTTTTTCATAAAACCATGTGTAAAATACAAATGAAAGAAATGGGTGATGTCTCATATGCTTAGAGATATATATGTATGTTTATCAGTTTTTAGTTGATTTCCTTATCAGAAAAACACGCCTCTTAGTATTAGAGTTTCAGAACACACAGATGGAAAGTAGTTATCAGAACAGCAATCATTGCGACTGGCTTTATTTTGATTGTGCTTCACTAACTACAGAAATAAGTAGAAAGTCCTAATTTTGTCCCCAAAGGCCATCAGGAAACGCAGTCCCACAAAGAAGGGTAGGGAGAATGAGGGAAATAACCCACAAAGGTTTACCTGAATGGTGCCCTCTCCTGCCTGTAGACAGAGTGGAATCATTACAAGTCTTTAGATCTGTTGAGCTGTTCGTGAGAAAGAAACAAAAAACGTGAAGAACTGAAAGTTTCCCTGATGATGGCTTTCCCTCTCTCAGACACAACTAACAGTTCTCCCCACCAGGACTGGCAGCCTCTCTACATTGCTCAGGTGTAAGGGTGAGAAAGGGAGCAATTTCCCTGTATCATTGTGCCTTAATCTTCTTAGATTTCTCTACAAAGAAATCACATTAATCAAATCTCCTTTCTGCTGTGTGAAAGATGCAGGGTGACTAATGTTCGACTTTGGGTGAGATTGGATATGGGAGAAAATCCTGACTTGAAATAATACCAGTTCCTTCTATAATCCTGGGTTGCCTAGAGTCTTAGCTTAGAACTGTAATTTCTACATCAGATTCTGTGAAACCCTCAAATGCCACTGTGAACCCAAGAGATACCATACATGGTTAAAGGACAAAATATCTAATGCACATATATGTACAAATAAAATGAAATCCTTGCTTTGAAAGTGTTGAGGAGTAGGGCTTATGGGTGTGTGTTTAAATTAAACAAGGAGCCCAATGGTATCCAAAGGACAGATGACAAAAACTGGTGTTTGTCTGCTTCATAAGCTTCATGGATTATAACCAGGACAAAATATGTCTGCATGTATTCTGACTGGAAGAACACTAAATCCAGAATCTATACATATGAAACATGGTAGTGTTTGAAAGGCCTTTCTCAGAAAATGATTTACATATTTAACAACTCATATGTTAAATATTTTATTAGGATTTTTTGAAAACAACTTTCTACCTTTCTTATTCCAAAGCACATACCTTACAGCCTCTTGTGGGAGGTGTCTAGATTTTCAGCAAAGTCTTCAGCTGTAAAGAACCCTGCCTAAAAAGTAAATTATATGATCAATATGCGTATATTCAATTAAAAAGCAACAAACTCTAAGCACATTATATTCATAATCATAATATCACATTGTAGTCTATGAATGTATATAATTTGCCAATTTGTAATAAAAGCAAAAATTTAAAAAGAAATCAAAAGGCCCCAAAATGAAAAACCTGCATGTCTTATAAAGTATTGGGACCAGTGTGGATCCCTGAGAACACATCTGTAAAAGAAAATTAAACATATATAATTTCTTTGAGATATAAGTATTTAAAATTGGTACATATTTTATGAGTATAAAATTGGGATACACATATTTCAATTCATAGTAACACATTTCAATTCAAAGTTTATAGTAACTTGTGGCTACTGGTCACTATATTAAATATATAGTCCTAGATTCTACATTATCTTTAAAGATTTTTAACATTTTAAAATTTTATTTTATCATTAATTTTGATATGTGTGCACCTGAGCATTTGTGTATGAATATAGGCACATGGAATGTGGAATTTGGAAGACAGAGGACCTTGAGTGTTGGTCCTAAGCTTTCATTTCCTCTGACACATTCTGCTGCATAAGATAGATTATGAGCTTCTGGGTACCCTGGATATCCAGCACCCTCTTCATGGAGTAGTGTTAGGATTATAGACACACGGGTCTGAGGCAGTTTGCATGATAATGGCCCACATAGGCTCAAAAATTTGCATGCTCAGTCACCAGAAAGTGGAACCCTTTGAAAGGATTAGGAGGTGTGGCTTGTGTTACTGGGAGTGAACTTTGTGGTTTCAAAAGCCCAAACCTAGGGTCTATCTTTCTGCCTGAGGACCAGGATATAAAGCTCTTGGGTACTGCTCTGGCACCATGCCTGTCTGCTTCCTGTCATGATGAGCTGGACTAACCCTTGGTTACAGTGTCTCTTTACAACACTAGAACAGTGCCTGAGACAATGTCTGTCAGGTCCTCATACTTGACACACGGGGGCTTCACCCACTGAGCAATCACCCTAGCTCCCACTTGGTTTTGAAACATGGCTAATGAAACAAGGTCTCTCATTGGTTTGGAACTCACCAAGTGGGCCAGGCTGGCTAGGTTCTGGGGCTCAAACTCAGGTTTCTGGATTTATGAAGTAAGCACTTTACCAACTCAACTATCCCCTCAGCCTACCAAATGTTTTTGATAGTGACGTTTGAAAACTTGGTTAAAAATAAGAGGCAGAGGCAGGCGGATCTCTGTGAGTTTGAGGCCAGCCTGGTCTACAAGAGCTAGTTCCAGGACAGGAAGCAAAAGCTACGGAGAAACCCTGTCTCGAAAAATCAAAAAAAAAAAAAAATAAGATTAATCAAGAGTAGCATGCGCAGAGCTAGTGAGATGGCTTAGCTGGGGAAGGATCTTGCCACCAGAACAGATGACCTGAGTTTGAGCCCCAGAAGGACTGACTGTGAGTTGCCCTCGGCTCACCACACACAGGCAATGGCACACATGAATGCATGGACCATCAATCAATAAACAGAAACAAATGCAAAAACCACAAAAAGAGGAGCATTCACAGTCTCCCAAGATAGTGTTTCAAGACAACCGTTGGATGAAGAGTTTTGTTACTAAAGGAGCCTCGTTCATTCACTATCAAATGATATTTTTCTACGTAAATTCTGTTTTCCTCACAATTTTGCACAAGAGTTTAGCACTTTACAGTATTTTCCTGAACCAGTTGTGATGGTTATTGTCCTAGTCTTTTTCTTGTTGTTGGGATAAAGACCAGGAACACAAACACAAATATGCACTAAGCCTAAAAGTGTTGGTAGGCCAATATAAAAATGACTCAGGAAACAATGATCTCTATCAAAATCAGGCTGGATCTGTGGGGTGATATTGTACTTGGGTGGGGGATATCAAAGAAGCGAGGTTTTTTTTGCATTTTAGTTGTGCAGAGAGTTTAGCCGGCATTATAGAAAAGAGGTGGTGTCACAGGTAAAGTTACAGAGTCAAGGCTACTTCCAAATATTCCTCTTTGGGTGCCAGGGAGAACGCTGAGGATCAGAAAAATACTCTTTGTTGGCCACACATTTTTTTCTTTTTAATTTTATTTACATAACATTTTTTCCCATTTATTTTACTTATCAATCAGTTTCCCCTCCCTCCATCCTGTCCCTTTCCCCTTCTGTCCCCATCCGGGTCTACTCCTCCTCCGCCTTCATTCAGAAAGGGACAAACCTCCCATGATCTTGCATAAAGCATGGCACATCAAGTTGGGGCAGGACCAAGCCCCTCTCCTTACCTCGAGGTAATCCAGCATGGGGAATAGGTTACCAAAAGCCAGTTAAGCGCCAGGGAGAAGTTCTGTTCTCACTGTTAGAAGCCTTACTAAGATACCAAACTACAAGACTGTCACACATGCAGAGGGCATAGGTCGGTCCCATGCAGGCTCCAGAACTATCAGTTCAGCGTCCATGAGCTCCCATGAACTCAGGTCTGCTGTCTCTGTGAGTTCCCCCATCATTACCCACCCTGGCTGGTACAACTGCCCCTCCCTTTCTTCCGCAAGACTCTCGGAGCTCAGTGCAGTGCTTGTCTGTGGATCTCTGCCTCTCCTTCCATCAGTTACTGGATAGAGTATCTCTGATGGCAATTAGGGAAGTCACCAATCCGCTCACAGGAGATGGCCAGTTCAGACACCCTCTCCACCATTGCTAGGAGTCTTAGTTGGAGTCATTCTTGTGTTTCTGGGGTTTTCCCTGGCACCAGGCTAATCCATAACCCGGAAATGTTGGCCACACAATTTAACAGGCAGTGGACAGTGCAGTGACTCCAATTCTAAAGGCTTTTTCCACTGAAGGGTCCATGTGTTCCTCAGGATGTTTGGCTTCCAGCCAAATGTACACTCGGAGTTTGAAATCAGTGTAAGAATTTTCTTTCACACTTAGTGTTCAATCTTAGTGTGTTGCCACTGCAAGATTCAGAACAAACCATTATTCTCCTGAGTAGAATTTAGTTACCTCTGATTCTAGACACATACTTGAAAGTCACTTCCTTCCTTCCTTCCTTCCTCCCTCCCTCCCTCCCTCCCTCCCTCCCTCCCTTCCTCCCTCCCTCCCTCCTTCCTTCCCTCTCCTTCCTCCCCTCTTTTTTATTGCTTCTTTGACAGTTTTCTCATGTATGCCTGGCTGTCCTCAAACAGACAAGGCTGGCCTTGAGTATCCAATGATGAATGAACTTATGCTGTTGATGCTCCTGATGCTGTCCTGAGTGATGAGCTTACAGACATGCCCCCCCCCGTACATGGTTTACGCAGAGTATCAAACCCCGGGGGTCATGTATGCTAGGCAGGCACTCTACCAACTGGGCTGCATCTAGGCCCTGAACATTCCTCTTTCAGTAGTCATGTGTTCCAGCTTGAGTGCACTTTACAGCGTCTCTTCTAGTTGCGAAAGCATTTCCTGCTTGCTAGCATTATCTTAGTAGGTCAAAGTTTCTACTCTGCCAGGGATTCAGATTTTCTTCAGGACTTTGTGCCCAGCATCGTGTCCACCTGGAGACCTGAACTCTACTCACTGGACTTCTTTTCCTGGAGAGGTCACTGAATGTTTGAGTTGAGAAGATTGACCACACTGATTTCTTTGTCTGGTTCTGGAAAGGCAAGGCTTCTGTTTGGTAGAAACAATGTCCAGAATGAATAAGATGCCCCTGATTGCGCTTGTGGAAATGGCCATAGAGATGTTGGAAGGTAGAGAAAGAGCCACCGCGTGAATGCATCAGCTCAGTGGAATGGTCATATTTGGAGTTGACAGATGGAAATAGGAAGAGGGCCTTACGTTTTCATTTCTTGGGTAAGTTTTCAGATCCTAAGTATCTAGTTTTAGCAAATACAGATCTTGCTAAGTTTCCTTCTGTTAATTTTTTTTTAAGATGTACATTTATTTGGGTTGGAGAGAAGGCTAAGCTGTTAAGAACACTGGCTGATCTTGCAGAGGGCCTGGGTTTGGTTCTCCAGAGGCACATGGTGTCTTATAACAATCTGCAACTAAAATTCCAGGGGATCCGATTCCTTCTTTGTCCTCCTCAGGCACTAGGCATAGACTTGGTGCATTTACATTCATGAATGAGACACACGTGCACACACACATACTTTAAAACATTTTTAAAAATTACACTTCTATCTCTCTGTGAGCACGTGAGTGTGTGTGTGTTTATGCATGTATGTGCATGGATGTTCATGCTATGCTATATGGAGGTTAGAGGACAGATTGCAAGAATCTGTTCTCTCCTCCTACCATGTAGGTCCCAGGGATTGAACTTAGGTGTTAGCTTTGGTGGCACAAGTTCCCCAGTACACTGAGCTGTCTCATCAAGGTGCTATGCTATTCCTTCTTGATGACAAAACATAGAAAGCCCTTTAACTCCATCTCACATAAAGGTGCAGCCAATCCTCAAGCAGCAAATGCAACAGCAAGTCAGGGTTTGCAATGGAAGAAGCTAATGAGTTGTCTGAGTGAGTCATGTCTTGGAGTTTGTTCTTGATTGTTCTTTGCTTGGAATGAAAGCTTCAAAAAAATAAGGAGATACAGAAACAAGGAAAAGAAAATAAAGAAAGCCTTATGGTTCTTCAATTCTTGCAGGAAACCTTCTTGTATTTGTTTCAATCTCCAGGCTGGTGGTTTTACCTAGGAGTGTGTGTTTATTAGGAGTGGACAAGAAGGAGCTACTGTGTGTGTGTGTGTGTGTGTGTGTGTGTGTGAGTGAAGTTATTACTTGGTATTACCACTACTGATAAGGTACTCCGGGAGGGAAAATGTACATGATTTTCCCAGTTAACATTTTATTGTAGAGGTGTGTGTGTGTGTGTGAAAGAGAGAGGGAGAGAGAGAGAAGGGGGAGAGGGAGAGGGAGAGAAGGAGAGGGGGAGGGAGAGAGAGAGGGGAGAGAGAGAGAGAGAGAGAGAGAGAGAGAGAGAGAGAGATAGGGAGAGAGGGAGAGAGAGAGTAAGAAAAGCCCCTTTGCTGATTTTAGGAAGAATTTCTGGGATATAATTTCGAAAGTTCTGACATGAAGATTTGTTGAAGGGGATCCCTTGATCTGACAGCGCAGCCCTCTTGAGCTGCATAGAGCTGTAAAGAGATGAGCTGGTGGAACTCAAGGAAATCGTAACCAAAGGAGAGAAGAATATGGTAGTGCCCAAATAACCGCACACTTATCCTCTTGTCTCGTGCTCAGTCCCTGCTCCATGCTTTTTGTCTCAGTGCTTCTGCAGAGCTGGGGGCAGGAGGGGGAGCTCTTCAGATGGGCCAGGCTGGGTGCCTTTCTGGCCCTGGTGAAAGACAATTGGCTCCATGAATCTTTAATGTCTCTCTGCCCTGCTCAGCACAGCACTCGCCTGGATCCTATCCACATTCCTGGGCTTGCTTGTTCCTTTTGGCATATTTCCAGATCCTGAGCACGTTTTCTGATATGTCCATCTGCTATCTAAATACGAGCAGTATCATGGGGAATGTGGCTGAGAGTTCACTTAAGACCCTTCACGGGCCCCTGCCTGCGGCTTCCAGATTGGCGGCCACGAAGAAGTTCCTCTAAGATTCTCTCCAGTGCTGTAGGATGGTCTGGCCACACATTACACCTGGGAGTGTTGAGTACTTCTCTGAATTGAATGCTGCTGCTGTTTAGGTGAGCTATGTTGCCTTGCCAGGGGAACAAGTTGACAAACCCTAGCTAAACAGTTTGTGCCGTACTATTAGAAATGCTAGATAAGGCTGTTCCATGTAATTCCTATCATACATTCTTGGATTGAAAATAAGCCGGTCTCTCAACAGTTTAGAGAGAAATCCTTGGAAAGGGCCTTTCGAACACTCTGAGAAATGATAATGCTACGTGGACATTCAAAGGCTGCCCTTCTATCTCCCAGCTTGCTAATGTCTAAATATGAAGGAAACACAAATGTGACGTAAGCCACCACTATTAGCAGCTGAAGGGTTTGCTGCCCGTCTCAGATGTAATGGAACTCCAGTAATGGGGGTCAGAACTGCTGTGACTGAATGTGTTCATGTATACTCTGTAAACCATTATGGAGTGTGTGACATCACTGTTCTGTAATCATTAGCAACGTTAAGAAGAAAACGTGATTAATTGTTAGCATGGATAAACATTTCATTAATGTCCATAAAGAGGCAAAGCATTGAGGACATGGTAGATTATTGAATTCTGAGAGGGCAAGGCTCCAAAGAACTACATACTAACTACCAACTGCACTTTGGGAGTTTTCCAGGGATAACTCACATTTGCATACCTACAAAAAATAGTGTGCTTTCATAAGAACTGTTGGGGAAAACAAAATGACCCATCAAAAGTAATCATATTCCTTAATTAAGAATGAAAGGGTAGGGCTGGAGAGATGACTTGGTGGTTAAGAGCACAGGCTGCTCTTCCAGAGGTCCCAAGTTCAATTCCCAGCAACCACATGGTGGCCCACAACCATCTTTATGGGTTTTGATGCCTTCTTCTGGGGTAAAGGTGTATATGCAGATGAAGCACTCATTATAATAAATAAATCTTTAAAAATAAAAAGAAAGGAAGAGTAAAAGCCAAATGGCTTTGCTTTTTCAACTTTTTCAATGATTATATAAGAGTCAATTAATTGTAAATTATAAGCAGAGGTGTGTGAATTTTCCAGCACCAAATTACAAACGACATTAAAACATAGCCTTATTACTTAATGCTTGGCTGTAGCTACACTTTGTCAACCAGGGACACAGCTTGGATTCCCAAAGAGGAACAACCATAACTGTAATGCAGAGTTGATTTGATGCAGGTTTCTACAAATTCTGAACTTTTCAAACGATGGCTTTGTGTTTGGGAACAGGACTCGGCAATTCGGTACATCCTTACCGTGTTGGGGAGTATTATTTTTAGGTGTATGGCTTTTGTTTACACTGCATTGGTTTAACTCCGTGAAGCTGTGTCACTGTGCCTGTCTAAAACACTTGATGGCCTAGTAAAGAGCTGAATGGCCAATAATGGGGCAGGAGCAAGGGTAGGTGGGGCTGGCGGGCAGAGGGTACAAATAGAGGAGGAACAACAAGAGAAGAGGAGGACCTCAGGGGCCAGCAGCCCAGCCAGCCATGGAGTCAGAGTGAAAGTAAGATATACAGAAGAAAGAAAAAAGATAAAAGCCCAGAGGCAAAAGGTAGTCTGGATAATTTAAGTTAGGAAAAGTTGGCAACAAACCAGTCAAGCTAAGATCGGTCATTTGTAACTATAAATAAGCATTTATGTGTGATTTATTTGGAAGCTGGGTGGTGGGCCCCTCAAAAAGCCAAAAGAGTAAAATACCACACAATATTACAATTTATAAGTTTTGGTTCACAGTAGAAAGAGGTGGATAGGTAACTTGTGGGTTGCATTTGATACTCTGTATTTGCCCTTCCAAGGTGGGTCTAATCATAAAAGAATAACTGTGGTCAAAAAGTAAGTGGCGTCTTCCCCAACAGACAATAAGTTGGATACTCCAAGGACTGTTCATAATTGTATTTTAGCTCTGTTTTTGACAATTTGAACACATTAAAGTAGACTCTTAAAAAAAGAAATTTTCTTTTCCCCCATTTTTCTGAATGAGACTTTCGCAGAGGACGTCACACCATTTAGATGTGATTTTGCTCTCCATCAATTCAACCACTGTGCCTTAGATGAGACTTCATGCTTCGCCTGAAGAACGTCTCCTGTCCTTGCCCTTATCATATCTAATTTATGTTGAAGAATGTGATATGAAATACTCCAAGCTCAGGATAGTGGAATGGGCTATCAAGGGATGTTGTGGACATCTTCAAGAGTTTATATAGCTTTTCACCCAGATGACTAAGTTACTCAGTTCTCTGGAGGAATTCTCTTATACTGTACGGTCAACATTTTATACAGAAAGTTCTCTTTGGAGATAAGGAAAATGAATAGAAGTAGCTAAAATTCTCTTTTATGTCTCAGTAATGCTTGTGTTCTCCCCGCCACTGGTGTCCTTTTCCCACTTTCTGACGGTGGCTGCTTCTAGAGTGTGTCTAACGGACGTGCTTCTCTTACTGCTGGAAGCCCTGCTGATAGCCAGTGTTGAGTACTGACACACACCAGAGCATCCTAGCTAATAGAAAAAATGTATTTCAGAAGAGTGTTCCAGAGAGGGAAGGAACATGAATTTAAAATGGGTGGGTTTTTCTTGTTTAAAAGTAATATAACTGATTATACAGAAATAAGAAAAATAAAAAAAATGTAGATGAGAAACGCCTCACTGCTAAGATGCATTTATCAATTTTCAGACATAAGGCTTTTTAGACAAAATTATTTGAAGCATTTGGGCAATCTCTCTGCTAGGACAAACTATGAATGTTTAGTAGTAGGTACTTCTTAACCTAGCTCTAACCGTCTCATTGGTGGAAATGGGTTCATAGGACATTCTCCCTTCTTTCCTACATAGTAGGATTGCCATTCTAGCTCTTTTCATCTTTCTCCATTTATTTCTTGAGGTCAAAGACTGAGCGATTGCCTTCGTAGTCATCGCTTCTCAATCTCCCCTTCCTGGTGTGGCAGGATGTGTCACTGGGGCAGCATAGGAAGGATTGGCTGGTGGAGAAGCAAGTGGAGTGACCTCTGTGACGTCTTCCATCCCCTTCCTCTTCCATATCTGTAGTGAGGAGCTACAGGCTGCATTCCTGCCACCCGGCTCCCGGCCACCTGGCTAGCTTATGTCCCAAAATGACAACACACAAACTGTATTCATATAAACACTGCTTGGCCCATTTCTATTAATGTGTGTAGCACCACGAGGTGGTGACTTAACCAGGGAGATTTTAGC